CTTCCCACAGTGCCTTCCCATCGATTTCCTGTGGCTTCCTTTGTACTAGATCACCCCTATTGCTGACATTCATATCTGGGATGTGACTTCTAACAGGACTGAATATGTCTGCATTAGGGTTTAGCTGAGGGGCTTACCGTTGTCTGAGGCTGATTAGGTCGATGTCTAATATATCCTCCTTGTGTAAAAGACAGTAAATCATTTTTTAATATATTTAATTCGCTTTGAAATTTACTAATGTTTTCCATTTGTGTACTCTGGCTTTCTCTCAATTGTTGGAGACTTTCTTCTTGTTTATTTTCTTTCTCTTCCATCCACTGTTGTAATCTCTCTTTTTGTTCATTTTCTTTCTCTTCCATCCACTGTTGTAGTCTCTCTTCTTGTTTATTTTCTTTCTCCTCCAACAGCTGTTGTAATCTCTCTTCTTGTTTCTTTTCTTTTTATCCAACAACTGCTGTAATCTCTCTCTTGTTTATTTTGCTGTTCCAGCTGCCACTGTTGCAGGTTTTCTTGCCACTGCTGTAATATCTCTTCTTGTTTGTTTTCCTTTTCCTCCAACAACTGCTGTAATCTCTCTTGTTTATTTTGTTGTTCCAGCTGCCACTGTTGCAGGTTTTCTTGCAACTGCTGTTGTCTCTCTTCTTGTTTATTTTGCTGTTTGAACTGCCACTGTTGCAGGTTTTCTTGCAACTGCTGTTGTCTCTTTTCTTGTTTCTTTTGCTGTTCTTGTATTGCTGCCATCAAAGAGCTGTAGTTTGATTTGCCGCCTCTTGTTTCCATCTTCTTCTTTTTTATTTTTATTTTCTATTCCACTTCTGACACCAATTTGTTACGTCTGTGTTCGTTTGTTAATTTTCCATAAAAGTTATTTCCGAGAAACTTCAGTGATACAAGTCCTTTCTTAAATAAAACTAGTTTATTCCCTCTCAATACAACTTTGCAACACACGCTAGAATTCACAATGATTCATGCACTTCACTACTGTGCTTGACTCAGTTGTCCATCTCTTTCTCTGCCTGTCAGCAATTCTAATTCCGATTAATTGTCTGGCGCATTTATATACAAGAATAGAGGGCACCTAGCAAATACTGGATTATTTGTGATGTTCCCCGATCTCTCTAGAACTCATTACGTGTTACCGACGTCACGTGACTTCCGCTGTTGTAACAGATTCTTCCCAATGGGTCATTTTCTTTTGAGATGCCATGTGGAATTGTTTCAACTATTTGTAATGGTCTAAAATAACATACTGCTACAACCAGGGTTTAACAAAAAACAATTTATTAAACTGTAACAACACTTGGAATGACGTTTAGCACTTACCAAAAACACAGTTAATAAATACCTAGTTGACCAGGACATAATACTAATGCTAATGAACAATAAAGAATAAATATCAGTATTAATTACTTCAAATAATAGAATGAGAAAAAAGAATTGGAGGAAGAAAAACCTAATTCCAAAGAAAACAACAACACAATATTTTAAAATCACCTTTCGAGCATCAAGTGACAAACAGCAGTAATTTACTAACTATATCATTCACTATCTTGCCAATTGGTTTATGGCAGGGTATTTATTCCCCGTATTAGGTCGTGAGAGTACATCTTTTGTGGTCATAAATTTCTGTACATATTTACTCAAAATATACATTATCAGCTAGAAGATGAGTTAGTGTTTTTATGTAACTAAAAATTCATAAATAAACTAAATGATAGAAGGAATAATAAATGAACGATAAACAAAACCATAACCAAAATAAAAAGAATTTGCTATCTCAGAATATTATAGATGTGAATTTATCTGGATAATTTGTCCTTGTGACTGGATGGTGTCTCCATAGGTAAGCTCATTCTTCAGCTTCTATAATTTTCCACTTGGCTTTCTCTTTGGAGACTTTTATCTTATGACTTTCTAGCATGGATAGTCTTTAATGGTTGTCAGCCAATGTACTATGACATTAGTTAGTATCACTATAACTTCTGTTTGGGTTAGATGTTTACCCTGTGCATCATTCTTGTAAGATGAGAAACATTACCAACAATATTTTTCTTCCGTTATCCACTGGTCTTGAGGAAAACAAATTACAAGGAATGTCACAGTACACAATGGGTTACAATTTTATGCTAGATTAGACTTGAATTAATGTATATTTTTAACATATACATGAAATATTGTTTGTAAGTTCTAATGTATCTTGCACTTAGTAACCTGAAGCAAAAAAATAAAAATACATAACCTTTCTGAAAGAATTACTTGATTATAAATCATATTTGTATATTGTATTCTTCTTACAACATTTAAATATGAGCATTTGTGATCATAAATCTTCATAATGTTATTTAAATATTGTTTCCTTTAGAATTTTACATAATTTATAAATTAACACAATAATGTCAAAGGTAAATGCTTTTGCTTTGCTATCATTGGATTTGATATACTGTCTAAGCTAAAAACATGCCCCTGTATTTGCTAACCAAACAGTAATTTATGTGAGAAAATATATTTTATTCTGCTTTAAATAAGCTATAATTTCACAAAAGCTTAGAAAATGTATACATGTGTATGTACGTTTAAAGCTTTATGCTGTGTTGCATGCTCTTATATCTTATTGAATATAAGAATTCAAAAGTGTCTTAACTCTGTGAATGTGCAAAGTAAATCAAATTTTGTTAATAATTATGACACCCAGTTTAATTTCTGTTAGTCCATTTCTGCAAATGGAATTTAGATTAATGTTTTGTGGACTTTTTCTAACAAATTTGTGAACTTTATTATATATTTATATACATATAAATGTAAGAAATCTTTTTTCTTTCTAGATATTTAGATAACAGAGTCTTTGTAGCCTTAGCCAATGGAGAAGTTTGCGTCTACCATCAAAACTTCTGTAAGCATAATCTTATATGAAGATTGATAAGATTAGAATAAAAATCTAGATTTGAAACTTCATAGTCATCATTTTAACAAAATGTATATGGATCATCATCACAATAATTAGAATAACACAAATATGTAAATTAAGCAAACAGATTGTTTGCTTATGTTACATAAGATGTTTTGTTTTGTATAATACACATGACAACTTGACCAAGACTGCATAGAACATGACTTCTGAGTCTTTCTCAGTCTGCTAATCTAGTTATTTCAAGTATTGTCAATAAGTTTGTGACACCTGAATGTCAATTGTCATCATGTTTAGCATACTATATGATCACCTAAGTCCAATTATCAATTAGATACTATTTTTGTTAATAACTAAATACTAATTAGTTTTCATTCTATGTTTTGGCTATTAGTCTGCTCTGTTCTTAGGGGGAGGACCCAATAACAACTATTTCTGGGGTGTTAGTGGCCAGTACTCGATCCATGGGTCTTCTTCATGGAGAAACTTTTGAGTTATCTACTCATCTCAGGTTTTCCCTTTTAGGATTTCGACCAACTAATTATCTTAATCAATGGTTCCCAGACTTTTGGTAATCATGGACAATTAAAATTACAAAACCATTTTCGGGACCATCATTCTAAATCAAATATCTGTTAATTACATAAGTAAAATAATACAATATTTGCAAAAAACAATTTACTTCGAAAACCAAAAAGAAAGGTAGACTTAGGCAACTTTTAGTCATCAAATATTAAAAGAAACATAAGTAAGTGTCAGTGCTTTCAACAGCCAAGACATGTTGCAGACTGGTAGAAATTAAGTCAAGGACTGGTACCGGTCCACAGACCAGCATTTGGGAAACACTGATCTAAATGTTTTCAAGAGGTATGAGTGTGTTATCAGCTACGTAAATGAACAAGGCTTCTTTTGTCTTTCAGTTTCTCATATATGTAGTTCACATCTCATTTTTTTTAACATTATTGTAATTTATTGTTTGAACTTTCTGTAAAATGAGTGGCTATTACAAATTGATCAGTATTAGAGAGGCTTGTATGTCTATTATGTTCTTGAATTCTAAGTTTTGTGGGTATGTTTGTTTCTTTGACGTAATGAAGTCCACATTCACAAGGGATGTTGCAAATGGTGTGTTTGCTCTCCAATTGGCTTCTAGATGGTTTCATCTGTTCTAAATTGGATTGTATTGTTTTGTAGCTTCTGAATACTGTTCTGACTTTGTGTTTTACATATCCTATGTATATGTTCAGAAAGACCTTTGATGTAAGGGAATATAGCAGTGTCTGTGATTTTCTTCTTGCGTATTCTTGAAGCTTATCATCTGTATTTTCTTCTTTATCAAGTGATCTGGGTATCTGTTTGCAATGGGAGTTGTAAAGGTGAGTTTTTATTCCTTTGTCTTATCATCTGTGTTAATATAAATGTTTATTATGAAAACTAGGCTGTAACTCCTGTCTTCACGCTGTTAAGTGGTTTGGTTTATTGTCAGGGTATGTCAGGATTTTATGATTGGATGGATTCTTTACAGTACGTGTCTGTGACTTGCCAGGAATAAATTTTAACAATAAACAAAAAGCGTGCAGTCCACTTGTTTTAAAATAATATATTAAAACAAATTAAACATATTTACAACTGTTCTTTATACTGTTGGTTACCACAGTTGTATCCAGAGCTTTAAACAATTGTCTCTTTTCGTCAAAGCAAACACAATCTGGTTCAGTTACTTTAGAACACAATTGACAAGATAAAGTTTTCCTTCTCTACTCTGTTATTACAATACAGTCTGTGATAATTCACTTTAGAAATCACAACTATACACTCTTATGGCTAAATTGCACAATCATGCAGTCTAGGTATATCTCTCTCACTAACTATGCCTAACTAGCTTTTGGATGCATTTTTATAGCCCAACAGAGGCCTAGAACTCTCCACATTCTATGAGATATTATGATGCAGCAACACTCAATTAAAACGAGACAAACTTAGAAGGTTCTAGTAACATGATGCACTAATACCACAATTGAGCTACACAATGTACGATTCGTACACAATTACGTAAGCAAACCTGGAATAAAATTGAAACAGTCATGTATATCTAACAATAAGTCCCTCTTCAAGAAAAATTCGTACAATATTTTTGTATGCTATATATAAAGTATATATGTTTTCAGTTCATGCACAAAGTCTGATCATACAGGTCTTTTTTCTCAAAGTACCTCTTCAACAGATTGGCATTGTATATCTTGGTCTTCCTGTCCATTTTCACCTTATAGTCCATTCTGTTGACCACTTCAGAAGGTCCTTTACATTGTATGGTGAGTTTGTTACTCTCTGTGGGTAGCAGAACCAAGACCTTCTATCTGACCTTGACCTTTCAGCAGAGTAGCTGAGGACTTGATCAGACCATTAGCACCTGTATCTGACAAGGGCAACTGGTATGTGCTGATAGTAGCTGACTATGCAACATGTTACCTAGAAACCATAGCTTTGCCGAAGATAGAGACAGAGAGAGTAGCAGAAGCCCCCTTAAAGTGTTTTGCAGAGTAGGTTGTCTTAAAGAAGTCTTGAGTAACAAAAGGACCTAGTTTACCTCAGAACTGATGGACAGAGGTATGCAGACTCATCAACGTTAGGCAGCTCTTTACCACCCTGTACAATCTCAGATGTAATGGACTTTGTTAGAAAGTCAATGGAATCTGAAAGACCATGCTAAAGTAGATGTGCCAGGAGAGACCATCTGACTGAGACAGGTACTTGCTTACCAAGAAGTCCCACAAGTGAGTACAGGATTTTCACCCTTTGAGTTACTGTACGGAAGAACAGTACGAGGTCTTATGCAGATATTGAAAGAATTGAGGACAAGATAAGTGTCAGAAGTGAAGAACACATACCTGTCAACTCGCTTGAGAAAGTTTGTATGCAGCTCAAGGCAGTCAAAAGTACTTCTATAACAAGAAGGCCAAGAAGCAATGTTTCAAGGTCGGGCAGAAGGTCTTGGTTCTGCTACTCACAGACAACAACAAACTCACCCTGTAGTGGAAAGGACCTTTTGAAGTGCAGGAAGTGGTCAACAGAATGGATATTAGGAGAAAGTGGATGGGAAAACCAAGTTCTACCATGCAAACCTGTTGAAGAGGTACTTCGAGAGGGAAGAAGACATAATGGGTGCAGCTACTGAGGCACAGATGGATATTGCAGGTTGTGGCTGTCAAATACACAGAACCAGAAGACAGTGACATAGAAGATAAAGACTTATTAGAGATAAGACTACTGGGTGGAGATGAGACATTCAAAGATGTCAAAATCAGTGATAAACTGACTGGGAAGCAAAAGAAAGATCTACAAGATCTACTATGCCTGTATGTTGATGTCTTTACAAATAGACCAGGAAAGACAAACCTTGTGCAACACAAGATTGAGACCATGACCAGGGATCCAGTCAAGGTGAAACCCTACCAGATGCCCTATGCAATGAGAGTTCTGATCAAGCAAGAAGTCGAGGTAATGTTAGAAGTCGGAGTTATTGAGCCTTCATACTCACCCTACTGTTCACCAATGTTTTTTGTGAAGAGGAGGGATGGTTCAAACTGCTTCTGCATAGATTTCTGGAAGCTGAAGGCTATTATGATAAAAACTAGACAGGGCCATGTTCTTTACCAAGATCAAACTCAGTAAAGGTTATTAGCAAATCTCAATGGAGACAGAATCTAAAGAGAAGACAACTTTTGTGACACTTAACAGATGCAACCAGTTCAACTGCATTATAAGAAAGGTGTTGCACAAAACCACCAACATCGAGTATTATGTGGATGACATTCTGACCCACACAGCCAGATGGGAAGACCAGAAGACCACCTGAAGAAAGTCAGAGAGTTGTTTGGGTGAGTGAGGGCAGCAGGTCTGACCATCAAAATGCAACATTGGTTATTCTGTGCTGGACTTTGTTGGACACAACAAATGATTATAAATAAGTTTGTTTTAGTGCAAAACTATACAATACGCTATCTGTACTTCGTGTGACATGGAAAATCAAACCTTGAATTTTAGTGTTTTAAGTCCTTACACTTATTGCTGACCCACAAGGAGACTCTAATTATATCAAAAGTACACTAGAAAACTAAAAATTACTGCATTGCTTTGAATCATTAGTTAGGTACCTTCCCTGCTAATTAGTAGCTTAGAAAATTTGTAAATCCTAAATCTATTTTTTAGATCTACACATCTAACCAATACCCAGTGCTCCAATTGAGAGGTTACAGAAAGAAGGAAATTGTAACTTTGACTATTAAATGTGAAAACATTCATCTGTGAGTAGTTTTCAGGAATTTCCCTTGTTAACTTTTTTTTTTTACAACTCGAGTGCTGCCAATACCCAAAACTTGAATACACTTAGAAGCATTTATATAATTCTGATAGTTCACTTTCAACATCACAGTCAAATAAATGTTATAAAATTGACTGAATCAATAAATAAGTACACACTAGATGCCAATCAGTTAAAGTGATGCTACTTGTGAAATATTATAGGGATCATGGCTGAAAATATCATTAATAGCATGGATATCAAACTGATGAAACAATGCATTCTAGTTTTTAAGTAGAAAGGATAGAAAAGTGTATTTAATTTGCTATACTGATTTCCAAATTCGTTTTTAGTTTGGTTCTGAATAAGTAGCTTGTTCTGTTATCTGAGTGTCCCCTTCTCCCTAATGTTTTTACCAACCCTTCGAAAAGTACGAAATTTAATGCAACTTACTCATTATAATGTTTTAATTGGTTAGGCAAAATATAATTTACATAGCCTTCAATCTTATTTAATTACAGAGCAATAAAATAGAAAATCAGACCCCTCTTGCCATGCCCACCTGTCACATCCTCTTTTTCAGAACTTGCCAATAGTTCTCTCTGACATTTAATACTGTATTATTTATAACAAATAGAAAGCCAAAGTTTTTCTCTATCAAATAACATATTATCTTATGTTGTTGTCTGTAGAGAGAATTGTCTGTTTTCTTTCCAGTTCAAACTTTATTCCTATGAGAAATACATCGACAAACTTAGCTGAATTTTTAATGGCTTTTGTCGCACAGTTAGAAAGCCAGAAAAACTGTGATAGTTATAGAATGTTGTTTCCTTTTCTAATGTTATTATTCTGTATTCTTTGGTGCATTATTTAATTAAATAGAAATTAATTGGGGTCAAGTTTCATTGACAGTCAAGAGCAAAACAAAAAGACCCAGGTAAGTACTTTATTTCTTGTTTTTCATGTGTATTCTTTATTTATTACTAAACTGTTTAAGTTACATAAATTAATATAAATAATAATCTTATTAATAATAATTTTTATGAAGTACGTGCATAATGTAATTCTGTGGCATAATGTGAGCTGCATGTTTGCCACATGATTTGCAATTTATATGGTGCAAATAGTAGGTAGACACAGTTCAAAGGGCAATAAAACAATAGAGATTAACTATAAATAGATGTATATTGTTACAAGCTTTAAACTACTTAGGATAAACAATTATTGTTTTATGTTACAATTTGCAGTCATTCCAGAACGAAAATAGGAGACATTTATAATTATTTCCTAATTCTTTATGGTGGTTACTAGGTTTGTCAAATCAACAAACTTCATACAGAATTAGGGTAAAGAAAATACCACATAGAATATAAATTTTTTCTGAAAAATACATTTTTTATATATATATTGGAGGTTTTTAGGTGTTATGCAAATATAATCTTTTAAAATTTTCAGATGAAGAAAAGTATTTATAATCTTATCATAAAAAATTACTTTGCACTCATAAAAGGAAAAAAACATGCAGTTTTAAACTGTAGATTTTCATTGAACATTAACATGCTCTTTTCCACTTCTAGAAGATAAACATGTAGTGTACATTGTAAATACAATTATTAAACTCTACCTATGGGACCCTTGAAAATTAGTTTGGGACCCTGAAAATCTCACTTGGACTCTTGAACAAAATAGTTGAGAGTCCAGGACTTTTCATTGTATGACCCTAGTGAGAACCCTAGTGTTAATAACTTATCTTCTAAAAAGAGAATAATCACAAAAACGTTCAAACCTATTTTTGTTTAGTATTATGTTTTGACAACTGATCTGGCCATTTTTTCACCTTTAAGGGACCCAACAATGTTTATTAGTATATAAATCATTGAAATTTCTTTCAGACCTGTATCAAAATACTAAAGATGTATCTCTGCTCTGGTACAGTAGTAATTTGACTTGAAATTTAATCAACTTTGACTGAATTACTCTCTAATATTTTGAATCAGAATAACACTTTAATGTTTCTACTCACATCCAAGATTTATTATTGGCTGAATCAAAATAAATTTTCAGGTAGATTTTTTACAACAAGAAATAGATAAATATTTTTGGATTTTGTTTAAGTCACGTAAAATAACAACAGGTTTATTTACTTTAGCTCTGAACAAAATTCACTCATGTTACAGCTTTATCTCAGGATACTGTTTATCAAGAAACAAAAAAAGACATGCCAGGTAGAATAATCTAAAAAAAGTGCAAAAGAAAGATGGAGACTATTAACAAAAAAATTGGCTCCAACTATGATTATTTGTATATACTGTATTTAAAAATATCTCAGTTGCTTGTTAAGATGCAACAGCATGTGTGTAGAATAGAAAAAAGAAAAGTAATTATATGAATATTATTCAAAAAGTCTTATCACCTTTACTCATAGTTTTAAACATAACTCTGCTTGTTTCCCATATTTCTTAGACGTAACTTTATCTATAATATGCAATAATCTACTTTTGATGCATGTTGCTGTCTGCTACAGAGAACAAAGTCTCATTGTAAGGGTGCTGTACCTAAACACTTCCATGCATTTCACACACTATTTGCCCTGTATGTTTCTCCATTTTACATATTCTCTAGAACAGTCTTAGTCTTTATAAGTGTGGCAAATGACCTCCAGGTCATCACAACAACATCTTAGTTTAGTTTATATATTTTTAATAGAGAAAATAGAATTAATGAATGTTTTAATCATGGTTATAGATGGTAGTTGGAACACAACAGATCCTCAGCATGTATTAGTGGGGAGTGTAGCAGCACCAGTGACTAAGATGTTAGCCACTGCTGGAAAAATGTGGTGTGGCTGTCAAGGCGACATCAAGGTGCTGAACACAACGAACTTAGAAATTGAGGTAAAACATTATTCATTTTAGTTTCTATATGTAATTGTTTTCCAAAATGATCTAGGCATTAAAAATGTCTTTTATAATTATTCAGTATTCATGTTCTTGAGCATGTCTATGAAAAGAGACTTTCTGAGTGCAGAATAATACAAATACAACTATTTCACTGTGAGTTATATAAAATTAAGATGAAAACCTTAGTATAGAAGTTGAAACATGATCTCTTTTTCTTTCAAAAGGCAGTTGTAGTCCCATTAAACCAACTGTGTCTACTCTGCCTGAAGTTCCACTAAAACAGTATATAGAATTCATCTCAATTAGTAAGACTTAAAATTGATGTTAATGTTAAATAATGCTGTTAGGTTCTCACCACAGCAATATAGAGAATGGTAAAATTTTTGAGCATTTGGTTTCCCTATTAATTATAATAGTCTTTGTTGGAGCTTACAACACCTAATAATCTACATCATATGTATGTACAAATAGGTTATGTGTGTATATTGTTATTTCATGTAAAGCATCTCTATCTTTCTATTGGGTAAAAAGTTACTGTGTAACATAATTAGCTATGAATTACACAAACATAATATTTTCAAATAAGTATATGCTAAACCAACAAGTTCACTTGATAAAAATTGAATAATAAAATGATTTTTTTAATTGCAATGCTTTTGAGGAAATTTGCTTCTACTATTTAAAAAAAAACTTTTCTAACATGATTTACAAGTAACTTAAGTGCCTTTTCTTTATGATAGATAAAATAATTTTATGTTTTCTTTTCAACTATTAAGCATTCTTTTCAAGTGACGAGAGGCTCTTCAAAAACAATGTTTTGTATGGTAGCATCAGATCTTGGTGTGTGGCTAGCTATACAAAACAGTGCAATCTTGAAACTATTCCATGCCACAACATATGAAGACCTCCTGGAAGTCAATGTTTCTCCTGCAGTCACAAAAATGTTGTCTCGTATGTTCATATTTTTACTTGGTAAAAATACTAACGTTATTTTCATTTTAATAAATATAACTAATTCATTATTTCTAAATATTGTGATATAAGTGTACATTATTCATTTTTGGAATTTAACTAAAGACTTCCCAGTTTCTACTGTAAATGAATATTATGTGCATGTCATGTTTTAACAGTTTGGAGATAATATTTTAGAAAAGCTTTATTTATATCATTCCAGGCATAAAGTTTTCAGGTAAGCTTCTGATATATTGCACTTATACTGTAATACAACATATATTTTATTCAGTGTTTAAAAAACACTTCTTGATTGCTTAGTTGATCATGTTCTTAACCCTCTTCAATCTTGAATGACTTATGTTGTTTTTTTTCAGTCTTTATTACATGTAATTCCAATTTTTTTTCATGGATCTAGTATACTTCTAACATATATATATATATATATATATCACATACCTAATATAAATCACAATATGTTGTTACTGAACTTGTGGTATGTAGGTCCACTGATAGCCAACAAATAAGTCCAAAAGTATCCACAAAATGCAGATTCCAGAAATGTTACATAGAGACTAAATTGAACATGAACAGCAGAGGAAAGAAACACACAAAAACAAGTAAATCCAAATTTGCATTCAAATACACTGTGTCAGTCTTCACACTTAATGGTTGGCTTACAATTTTTCTTTGAACTCATGATGATTACTTTTCTACACTCCCCCCACACAGGACAAAGGGGGTTCAGGATTTACCTCCCCAAATTCAGATTAAATGTTGAATGTGTGGTATAGCAGAATTCAACACCAAGTATGTCACCAACTATTCTAAAAAAAAACATATATATATATAGTAAAGAAATACCAATAACTCATATCAATTTGTGCAAATATCTGAACCACCTCTTGTGATGAGCTTGCCCCTCCCTCTCCAGGGGTCAGACCTAAAGCCCAAATGCCAGCATTACCTGAGTAAAAAGATTAGTTCAGGTTTATGACCTTTTTGACAGTTGGTTAACAAGAATATCATACTACATACAGAACAGCTGCATGAAATTTAATAACAAATGTACCTGAACATATCTGAATAAATATGATATCAAAATGATACAAGAATAAACCCAAGGATTGTTTTATTTTTTAGTTTAATATGCAACTAAATGTTTTGTTTTTTCACTCACAGAAAGATCAGTAATCAAAAGTCATCATCAGAGTGAATATTCAAATATATCTCATTGAAATACTTAGAAAAATTTGAATGTTTGAAATTAATTTCAGGTCATGCAGTGAAGTCGACAAAAACAAAATGGTGGACATTTACACTTTATCCATTGAGGGTGGTATAGTATACAAAAAAGATGTTGTATATGCAAGTACGATAGTTATAAAGCAATTCATTTTAGCATGTTCGAACTCTAATTACATTTAAGTACTTTGAGATTTTAGAGTATTATTTCTGAAAAAAAAAAGGAAGCTACTACTGGAAAAGTATATAATGTCAAATATATAGTTTTGAATGTCCAAATTAATTTTTAACAGAAAAGATCTCCATACAGTACTTCATGACATCAAAATATGTAAGTAAAACAGATTGGGGAGTTGAAATACAGGGGTCAAATCTTAAGAAACCTACATGAGTATACTGTAATTACAGCAGGTGAATTTGAACTATTTAAGAAGTGTTTCATGTATATGGTTTGGTTTTGTTCTTTAGTGTTTTATAATGCAGGAAAGAATATAATTTCCTTTGGAGATACTACTGCTTTTTTCTTTTTCATTGATTTATGATTATTAATAATATAAAGCAAGTTTGTTTATTGCCCTAGTATGTGCCAAATTTGTGAAATAAAAAACAAATAATTAATTAATATAAAAATTATAAATAAATGAATGAAAAAAATAGACCAAAACAAGTACAGTAACAAAGTTGTCATTTAGTGTTACCTTTATAGCTCCATAGATACCCTCACATGAAAAGAAATTCATCATTTCACTTATGTATTGTAAAACATGTAATAAGAATAAAACAGGGCTATATATATGTATGTATATACATA